GAGCTGATAAAAAATGTGTTTGTGTGTTAAGGGCATAGCTGGTGTAAGAACTAAGAGCATGTATGGGTCTGCTGACACTAGTTTTAATGGCCTTGCATTTATCATTGTCATTACCTCAGTGTCAGGCTTCCACTCTGACTTAACTGGTTTGCAGCATTCTGGCTTGGCTGCCATTTCACCCACCTGTGATTCCTCCTTTGTCTGAGCAGACTGTGTAACGTTGCTCACTACTCCCAGGCTCCCTGTTATGGCCAAACAGGGAGCATCATCTGAGAGAACCAGATGATCAGAGTTGTCACCCCACTCACTATTTAAACCACTCAGTCCACTCTGACCTTGCCCTTGCGAGGTCTTTTGAGTTCTTTCGAGCTAGTGCATTCCTGCTGCTCTGTGTATCCTGATTCTGTGTATGACCCGATCTTGGCTGACGTTCTCCTCTGGCTCCTGGCTTGTTCCTGACAATGCTAATCTCCGTGTTCCTGACCTGGCTTGTACGACTAACCACTCCGGCTCCTGACCATGGCTTGTTCCTGTTTGAGTTTTGCTTTTTCCTGTGGACACTTTTCTTAATAAATATTTTTACCTAGCACCTTATGCTTGTCTGGTTTTCAATGTGCTCTGATACTCAGACATTAAGGTTCTCAAATTTCCGTGAGTCAGATGAGCAGATTATTCTTGGGGCAAGCTTTTGCTTTCAGCTTTACCTCCTCCATGGGGCAAAAAATGTTGATTCCAACACTGGTGATTGGACTTATCCTGTCCGCTAGAACATCTGCCATCTTGTCACTTTTTAGTTTTACTCAGAGTTTAATAATCCAAATTTCTGCAGCTCTGATTGTTCCATCTGTTACTGACGTCCTTGATGTGCCACATGCTAATAATAATCTGCAGAATTTTTATATGATAATTGCAGGGATAATAGACTGCTTCTCAGTGGCGTAACTAGTGACCTCAGGGCCCCATGCAAGAATCCCATGAAGGCCCCCCACCCCCCACCCCCCCAAGAAGACACAAATTAGATTTTTTTTTACTTCTTCTCTTCTGTCAGATTAGCAGAGGATAAATGACCTCCAACTCTCAACAATCCATCTTTATCCACTACTGGACTGAGTTTTTTTTTAAGGTGGCTCAGTTTGGACAAAGTCTTTTGCTTTTTAATACATTTAAACTTGTTTTAGAAATATTCCTGCAGGACAGAAGAAATACTTATGGTTTTAGCTTGTGAAAGCGCCTCCTTACTTCAAGGGTTTATTAGGTTCCCCAGACTGACCACATGAATGAGTTGAGCTAAAGTTTGATAGATTGTCTACTAGTTAGAAAATCTCTCTAAGTGGTGTGCACTAAGATTGGCTTTAAAAGCTCTAGTTACAGTACATTATGTCTTCCTTCCATGGCTCTACAGTTTTAGCATAGTTTTGTTTCCAGTAGTCTTTTTCATAAATAGAATGAAATCCCTTTTCATGTCTGTTTTTTCCTCTAAGATTTTCGTGAGCTTGTTTTTTTTGTAAACAATGTCTGGGATTATGAAATGGTAAGGGTACTACCCTACTGTTATGAATTATCCCTAATTTGGAGAAAGGTCTGATCATCCACAAATAATGCTTGCCCAATAATCATCCTTTGTTCTGTGCAACCCCGAAGACCCTTGATTTTCTGTGCTCATACTAGTGTCCATATCTTAATTGCTGCTCAAAGAAAGTGAGTTGTTGTGTTGGCTCAGTTCGTGTTAAAGGTTTCTTTAACGGAGACCCTGTTCTGACATAGGCTGAAAAAGAATGTACGTCCATTTCCAAGTACAGTTGTTTTAAAACTGTTTACATTAGTTGGTTTGTGTGCTGTACCCAGACAAGCTTCTCCCATAATAGCCCAACCTAGATCAATACTTTTCACATATGGAGCATTGTAGGGCCTGGTAATTTGCTTGAATACTTTGTGCACTGTCAAAATGTATCGTCCTAAAAGTAGGAGGATAGGTGTATCTGATTCCACAGCTGGAATCTGGTGAACAACTAGATGCAGATAGGGGTTGTTTCTAGAAATTTTTGGAGAAGCAATCTCTGTTTTATCAAGTACCATATCATTCCCAATTATGTTTGGGAACAGATGTTGCAGACTTTCATGGAAGGATTCAATATTAAAGCCGATAGCACTTCTTCTTGAAGTTTCTATTGTCCCTGAACATGTTTTAGTGTATATGAGCTGTGTCTGTTTTAATGTCAAAGATATTAAAAGAAATCAAGTGATCTATTACTTTGTTCATTCAAAACATTATACATTTTCATTGCCTTTTCTTTCTTCTCATTTGAATATACTTTTGCTAAACAGAACTTGGTGTATGACCGTGGACTCTTAGTTTGGCCACAGATTTCTGTGCACTTAGTTGTTATCGAGTTTTCACTTTGATCCCTGCTATATTGTCTCTCAGTGCCACATCTCTCTAGTGGTAGAGGGGATGGACCAGGGTGTAGAGCTACAATGTGCTTTTTACTGTTGCATTATGAGCATTTAATGGAGGCTTATAGAATATTTTACACAGTGGGCTGCACTCAGGGGGTGGGGGGATTAACTGAAGGACAACTGTTCTAAAAGTACAGAAGGGCAGAAGTTGAACTCCTATATACAGCCTTAGCTCTCACTTATATTTTAACTTCATTCTAGAAAAAGAAGCCTCACCACATGTGTGCTCTGTACCCACCCCATGAAACGTCCCCTTTTGTCCTCACTCTGGAATAACTGAAATAAAATGTGGGATTGTTGAAAATTCTTATGTTCCATTTACATATGTAGTCATTGGTTCATTTTTCATTTATACAATGAGAAACAAAGCCAAAGTTTCTAATTAAATTAATAAAACAGCGGTGACACCAAGGGAATTGAAATACGGAAATCCTCTAGTATTACATATTAAGATAATTATGATGAATGTTTTTAAAATGTATTTATCCTGGGCATGGATGACCCAGGGTAGATCATTTTGGGATGAGACCTGGCAAGGAATGGGATAAAATGAAGATCCTCTTGGTTCCTTTTGAACACTCTTTGAATGATGCCTTTAGCATAATACTAGTGGGTAAGGTTGGGACATTGGTGTTTGAGAGGGAGAATGTTCTTTTTGGACTGGCTTATGCTAAAAGTCATAAAACCTTTATTTCACCTTTATACTGCCCATTAAAAGCTTGCAATGTGACAGCCTGATTTTATTTAAAATAAAACATCATTCAACATATTTACATTTTGTTTCTGATATGGCGTCATCAAGAATGTACTGGTTTAGGTAATATATACATAAAACAGGGCTTTATGCAGGCAGATGTATGCATAGAATGTGTGTATACAATTCAGAGACCTGGTAATAATTGTGGATAGGGATGCTCTGTATTTTTAATATAGATGCTGAATATGTACAGACAGACTGAGGTGTATTACAGACTCTGTGCACACTGAGTCCTCTGTATGTCTGATTGAGGCCGTTTGTACAAATGTCACTTTACTGCATGACTCACCAAAACATACTCTCCAAGTCACTCCATGCTGAATTAAGTATCCATGGCTGCAGAGTACAAAAACAAAAAAAAACCCTTATTGACTCCCCATGTGTACAGCTGACTGCCCAGACTGCATGAAGCTGTTGTGCTGCAGAGATGATTAACCTTTTGATGGCAGACTATTCATTGTTTTCTGGTACCTTTGTTGTATTATGTGATTTAAATAATTAACGTGTAGATGCTTGATATACACAGAAGTGATATTAACGTAGATTGTCATTTTATTGCAGAGGCATCCTAAGCATATTGGCCCTACAACTCTAAACTAAACAGGTTTTGAACATTTACATCATCTTAACAAATTTTCAGAATGTGCTTTGGGGTTTACTTTTTACTCATAGCATATTTAACTGTAAATGCCAAGAGCTTTTTTGGCAATGGGCACAAACACCTGAGGTATACTGGGATGCAAGGCCTACACCTAGCAGGGCTAACTTTTAGATTGTAAGCCCTCATGGGCAGTGCCTTCCTTACCATCTTGTCTGGAATTGTATTGTGTTTGTAATGTCTTCCTTATATTGTAAAGCGCTGCGCAAACTGTTGGCGCTATATAAATCCTGTATAATAATAATAATAATAACTGCTAATTTTTGTCTAGCTCCTCTGAGCCAGTTTGCTCTTAGACATGTCCTTCCAGCCTCTCTCCCCCTCCACTGCAGTGGTCTAAGGTCCTGAAAATCATTGCATTCTATACACTGTGCATAGATGTGAGGATGCTGAGAATCATTCCTATGCTGCAGTGTAGGAGGAGAAAGGCTTCAGAGACCAGAGAAGCAGGGAGCCAGCTTTGTGGTTCGGATGAGGATAACTTTTTTTGTAAGCACTTAGGCAAAAATGAGCAGTTAAGCCTTGCAGTGTTCAAGAGTTAAAGGAGAACTATGAGGTGAGTGCTTTTCACTCACCTCATAGTTCTAGCCGACCTGTGACAATGAGATTGTCACAGGCCGGCTCAGTAGATCGGGAGGTGAGCGAGCACATACCGGGTTCGCTCGCCTCTCGATCCTGTCACGACTCTCTGCCGTGACAAGGGGAGGGGCTGGATTCCCCTCTCCCCGCTCCGATCTGCCAGCGCTGACTGGCGGAACGGACGGGGGAGGGGGCGGGTACAGCTGGCTCTGCCTATAGATAGGCAGAGCCAGCTGTCACTCACGCAAGTCGTGATCCGCTCCGGCTGCGGCGTCTCAGTATACCGCGAGCTGTAGCTCGCGGTATACTGAGCTTAGGGTAACGGGAGGACGCTAGTTTGTGTCCTCCCGTTACCCTAAGGAGAACTATGGGGAAAAACACTGGCCCCATAGTTCTCCTTTAATAAAAAATGTTTGCCTGGAGTTCTTCTTTAAACTAGTTTTGCTTTGCTACTGGGGCCTAACATCCCTTATATAAAATGAAGAGAAACATCAGTAACAGAGAGCTAACAGCATAAGTAGTAAATTTTTATTTTATTTTTGGCTGCAGTTCTGCTATAAGTATGTAGGGTATAAAACCGGTCGCCCACTTCTCGTGTTAGACCTGCGTTACTGCCAGGACCTGTTGGCAAGTAAAAACAAGCACTCCAATGCCTTACAGGACATGGAGATGTCATTTGCAGTATTATGGCATGATGTTAAGCTGATAAATTCGATCTTCAGCCTTTGGAAACACTACTTTTAGATTTGAAAGATTGTTGGCTACACAAAAGTTTGTAATTGCCTAGCAAACATGGGCAAATGCCCAGAGATAGATACTGTATGTTGGTCACATAGCAATTTTCCAGCAGAATATAACACCACCTGCAGCAAAAGTAGTGTTAGAAAATTACAGACTTTTTATTTTTCTTTGCCTTCGTTTCATTAAACTGAAATGTTGCCAATAAATTGCTGCTTACGTCTCTGCCATACCTCAAGCTCCCCTTTTCATATTCCATGAAGAGGGCTCTGTGTGAACTCGTTGGTTATAACCAGCTTTCATATAAACACCACCCTACTACACAGTCTATACCTGCTTTTAACGAATAACACACAGTATTATGCTGCCTTTCTCCCCCTCACCTCCCCTTATAGTTTGGTCATTTCCATGCTGCTGTTAGTTATGGGGCACTTTTTTTAATGCATAGCCTCTTTCAAATGCTGTGATGCCTCTTGGGCAGCTGCTGTGGAATGAGCCAAACATTTCTTGGAATTGCACTAACAAACTGAAGCCCATTGATGCACTTTTCTGTTCTCTAATGCCAGGTAATATTAGGTACTCCTTATAAAGTTTAGTGGAGTAGCTTAATGCATTGAACTTAAAATGTGACTATAGCATTTTTATGGTGGTCCAGAGTCCACTGTATCATGCTGAGTGTCAGATCTCCTCTACATAATAAAGGTTGCAAAATGGCTACTCCATGTCCATACTTGCCAGCATTTCAAAATAATTGGGAGGGAATACAGGAAAAAATGGACATCGCTGATGGTGTAGGCTATGGCCAAATCTGGATGAGGCCACAGCTTATGGATGGCATTTGACACTTTTCTTACTATGCTTTACATTAATTTAGACAAATATTTAGACAATATGCTGAAATTTAGTACTGGGGGACAGTGGTGTCTCAACAGATCGATGGGTTTAAAGCAGAAATAAAAAGGTTTGTGTGCACAATCAGTTGTGGCAAATGCAGAAATTGATGTATTTTGAAGGGTTGTAGTTTGTGAAAAGCCCTCCCACAGCAGCAGCATAACACAGATATATCAGTCTGAGGGGTACGTTTTATAGCAAATGGGCTTCAACAATTAGCAACCTATGTGCCCCCATATTCAGAAGCATAATAGTTCCTCAGCATATAGTTACCTAAGCAGGTGGTTAGGTATTTTTGGCTGACTGTAGTATAAGGCAATGCAGACAGACAGACCTGGGGTACATAAAGGTGAGAGAGGTTGCAGAGAAAACTGTTTGGACACACAGGGCTAAATATTGGACATGGTTAAATAAAACCTGAGCCTGTTGCTGGTATACCCTGCACATATTTGACCAGACAAACATTAGGTCTTCACTCAAACAATGCGCACAGATAACGTCAATTTACTTGAATAAAATCACAAGGAAAATTTACCATTTTAATAATGTATTCAACAAAAAATGTAATAGACATAGTTATGTATTATGTACAAAGTAAGCCTCAGACACTGGTATTGCCCCTTTTGGCAGAAATTACTTCTTGAATGCATTTTGTATAACTGCCCAGCAGTCTCTGACTAACTACAACAGTCCTTCAGTTACAAGATTTTTGTGAGTCTCCTTGTATTAACTGCCCTTTCAAATCTCCCAACAGTTCATCGGAATTCAAATAAGGGATTTGACTACACCAGTCTATAACCCTCCATTTGTTCTTTTTGAGTTATTCCTTGGTAGGTTTTGGAAATATGGCCTCACCTTTTCATCAAGCATACTTTCTACATAATTCAGATATCATAGTTGACTCTATAACTGCAAGCTGGCAGCAAAGCAACCCCAAACCATAACATTTTCACCACCATCCTTTTCTGTTTTTATGAGGTTATTCTGACTCCAATTGTTGAAATAGCGGCTTCTCCCTTCCTGAGACCTATATATCAGGCCTGTATGTAGCAGATACAATCACCGCAGACAATCTTCATCAGATGAAGTTACTCACCAAATACTTTGCATCCGCGATGATCTTTATTGCATGCAACAGGAATCTGGCAAACAATATGATGTGGTAGACGTTTGTATTCAAAGGTCAAAAGGAATATTCTTTTTCCTAACCTCATGTGCATGTCTTGCATAATGAAATCTGCACCCCTTGTAGATTATTTTCCTTACAGTGAAATGATTGACAGGAAGGCCACCAGTCTTTCCAGAAAAGGTGGCAATAATATTTACTAGCCATGTCTATATTTACTATAAAGATTTGGCCATAAGTACCTTAACTATTAACTAAAATGTAGCTTATTTGTGTATCACTCGGCTGTAGACCCTTAAATCATCTCTGAATTTGTGCTGACACTGTCCTTCTTTTGGAGGGTGGCTACATTTTTTTTCCCTATGACCCCTATGTGTTGTAAAGTAGCCACCAATCCGGGCTCATTCCCATAATGGACTATAATTTCAATACTTATTAGTAAATGTGAGATTGCAGTCCATCCCAGGAGCGAGCTTGGAGCTGGCTTCAGTTAATTGAGGGTGCAGGCATTTGTTTATGCACAGCTCTTGTAAGGTCCTGTCACAGGACTTCAATCAGGCCATTGCAACCGCCTGATCCTTTTCTTTTTCAGCCATTCTGTTGTAGATTTGCTGGTGTACTTAGGATCATTGTTCTGTTGCATGACCCAATTTTGGCCAAGCTTTAGCTGTCAGACAGATGACCAGATGAGGAATTTACTTTCTCCCCATTTCTAAGGTGGCTATCAGCAACAAAGTCTAACAACTTAATTTGGCAGATAATTATATGTGTATGGTTATCTTAACCTGCATCTCAACTCAAAAACAAAAATGTATATTGCAACTTACTTAGTCCTTAGATATGGTGGCTTTCTTTTTTCATTTTCTTTCCTTTTGTTTTCACCTGGTGATCCTGCCAGTACCATACTTTCTATGCTAGATTGTTGACACTGCACACAATGTAGCTGTGAAGGATCAGCCAGGCCTGGAGCAGCAGACGGAGGCATCTGTGTAAGGAGTGCATGACAGGATCTAGGAAAGGCTAGAAATTGGAGTTCCAGTTCCAGTGCAAGCAGGGTCATCAGCGTGGAAACAGCATCTTCTGTCCTCTACAAGAATGAAATGAGTGGATTAGGGGATATGTTGGGCCAGATCTGGGCAGCAGCCTTCACCAATGGTTCCCATGGCTGCAGGAGCAGCTTGAAAGGATGAGGGGATTTATTGCCCCAAGCATTGCACATGCCACGGGCTCCACATGCTAGGAGAGCCCACCCTCCTGAGCGCCTCAGCGCCTCCAACAATCCACAGGTCCAGAGCTGCCCTGGGAGCCTCGTCTGGGACCCCCAGCTAAGCTAGTGCGGGCTGTGCTGCTGGAAGGAATCCCCATCTTCAGCGGGACCCGCGGGGGTACTTCGCTACTTCCTCCACGACCTCCCTCCCTCCTCCATCTGTGGTTCTGGAGCATGCCGCCTCACCCTGTGGTGATGCTGCTACCAGGGGAGAGGGTCCGTTGTGGGAATAGCACGGATGCAAGCGGGAGTAATTTCCAGCACTTACCTCTTGCTCGTGTTCCCCGTGGTGGCTCTGGCCATTCCAGAGTGAAAATGTGTCCTGCTGCCTGCTGTCCTCCTGACTGCTGGCCAGTCTTAGAATGCGGCCCTCCAGGCCTCTGCTGTGGCTGGTGTGAGGAGCTGTGTGGAGTGGGCTGCTCCTGGAGACCAGGCTCCCTTGCATGCAGCTGGTTGCCACTCCCCAGGTGGGGACATGGATGGCTCTGCGGCTGCTTCCCTCATCCAGCAAGATTCCAGGTCGGAGGGGAAGGTGCACAAAGGCGACCTACGTGAAGTTCCTGCCCTTCTTCCCGTTTCGGATGGATCTGGACGTTCGCCTGTTCAGGAGTCCCTCCTTACTCAGCCTGGTGAGTATAGCTCTTTGCCATCCTCTACTATTATCAGAGAGAAGGCTCCAGAACACTGCTCCGCAATGTTTACTTACTTGGACTCTGCAGGGGAAGCCCATTGGGTTTACAGTGGACTGGCCTGGCTCCGTTATGATGAACAATTTTTGGCAGCGTAAGGAGCTTAGACGTTCTTTGCAGTGGGACCATAAAGTCATCAGCCTTTGGATGTGGCTAATGACCCCGGCATGTTCTGCTTCTCAGCCCTTTCCAGCTCGGGACCACTGGCCAATAAGAAAAAAGGTTATTGTTGAAAATTTAATGAGGGTGCTTGTCGTTTTGGAGGATCCTGTCGCTTTCAATATAAATGTTTTGTTTGCGGGGGGGGGGGGGGTTGCAATAATTGGGAGGGAATACAGGAAAAAATGGACATCGCTGATGGTGTAGGCTATGGCCAAATCTGGATGAGGCCACAGCTTATGGATGGCATTTGACACTTTTCTTACTATGCTTTACATTAATTTAGACAAATATTTAGACAATATGCTGAAATTTAGTACTGGGGGACAGTGGTGTCTCAACAGATCGATGGGTTTAAAGCAGAAATAAAAAGGTTTGTGTGCACAATCAGTTGTGGCAAATGCAGAAATTGATGTATTTTGAAGGGTTGTAGTTTGTGAAAAGCCCTCCCACAGCAGCAGCATAACACAGATATATCAGTCTGAGGGGTACGTTTTATAGCAAATGGGCTTCAACAATTAGCAACCTATGTGCCCCCATATTCAGAAGCATAATAGTTCCTCAGCATATAGTTACCTAAGCAGGTGGTTAGGTATTTTTGGCTGACTGTAGTATAAGGCAATGCAGACAGACAGACCTGGGGTACATAAAGGTGAGAGAGGTTGCAGAGAAAACTGTTTGGACACACAGGGCTAAATATTGGACATGGTTAAATAAAACCTGAGCCTGTTGCTGGTATACCCTGCACATATTTGACCAGACAAACATTAGGTCTTCACTCAAACAATGCGCACAGATAACGTCAATTTACTTGAATAAAATCACAAGGAAAATTTACCATTTTAATAATGTATTCAACAAAAAATGTAATAGACATAGTTATGTATTATGTACAAAGTAAGCCTCAGACACTGGTATTGCCCCTTTTGGCAGAAATTACTTCTTGAATGCATTTTGTATAACTGCCCAGCAGTCTCTGACTAACTACAACAGTCCTTCAGTTACAAGATTTTTGTGAGTCTCCTTGTATTAACTGCCCTTTCAAATCTCCCAACAGTTCATCGGAATTCAAATAAGGGATTTGACTACACCAGTCTATAACCCTCCATTTGTTCTTTTTGAGTTATTCCTTGGTAGGTTTTGGAAATATGGCCTCACCTTTTCATCAAGCATACTTTCTACATAATTCAGATATCATAGTTGACTCTATAACTGCAAGCTGGCAGCAAAGCAACCCCAAACCATAACATTTTCACCACCATCCTTTTCTGTTTTTATGAGGTTATTCTGACTCCAATTGTTGAAATAGCGGCTTCTCCCTTCCTGAGACCTATATATCAGGCCTGTATGTAGCAGATACAATCACCGCAGACAATCTTCATCAGATGAAGTTACTCACCAAATACTTTGCATCCGCGATGATCTTTATTGCATGCAACAGGAATCTGGCAAACAATATGATGTGGTAGACGTTTGTATTCAAAGGTCAAAAGGAATATTCTTTTTCCTAACCTCATGTGCATGTCTTGCATAATGAAATCTGCACCCCTTGTAGATTATTTTCCTTACAGTGAAATGATTGACAGGAAGGCCACCAGTCTTTCCAGAAAAGGTGGCAATAATATTTACTAGCCATGTCTATATTTACTATAAAGATTTGGCCATAAGTACCTTAACTATTAACTAAAATGTAGCTTATTTGTGTATCACTCGGCTGTAGACCCTTAAATCATCTCTGAATTTGTGCTGACACTGTCCTTCTTTTGGAGGGTGGCTACATTTTTTTTCCCTATGACCCCTATGTGTTGTAAAGTAGCCACCAATCCGGGCTCATTCCCATAATGGACTATAATTTCAATACTTATTAGTAAATGTGAGATTGCAGTCCATCCCAGGAGCGAGCTTGGAGCTGGCTTCAGTTAATTGAGGGTGCAGGCATTTGTTTATGCACAGCTCTTGTAAGGTCCTGTCACAGGACTTCAATCAGGCCATTGCAACCGCCTGATCCTTTTCTTTTTCAGCCATTCTGTTGTAGATTTGCTGGTGTACTTAGGATCATTGTTCTGTTGCATGACCCAATTTTGGCCAAGCTTTAGCTGTCAGACAGATGACCAGATGAGGAATTTACTTTCTCCCCATTTCTAAGGTGGCTATCAGCAACAAAGTCTAACAACTTAATTTGGCAGATAATTATATGTGTATGGTTATCTTAACCTGCATCTCAACTCAAAAACAAAAATGTATATTGCAACTTACTTAGTCCTTAGATATGGTGGCTTTCTTTTTTCATTTTCTTTCCTTTTGTTTTCACCTGGTGATCCTGCCAGTACCATACTTTCTATGCTAGATTGTTGACACTGCACACAATGTAGCTGTGAAGGATCAGCCAGGCCTGGAGCAGCAGACGGAGGCATCTGTGTAAGGAGTGCATGACAGGATCTAGGAAAGGCTAGAAATTGGAGTTCCAGTTCCAGTGCAAGCAGGGTCATCAGCGTGGAAACAGCATCTTCTGTCCTCTACAAGAATGAAATGAGTGGATTAGGGGATATGTTGGGCCAGATCTGGGCAGCAGCCTTCACCAATGGTTCCCATGGCTGCAGGAGCAGCTTGAAAGGATGAGGGGATTTATTGCCCCAAGCATTGCACATGCCACGGGCTCCACATGCTAGGAGAGCCCACCCTCCTGAGCGCCTCAGCGCCTCCAACAATCCACAGGTCCAGAGCTGCCCTGGGAGCCTCGTCTGGGACCCCCAGCTAAGCTAGTGCGGGCTGTGCTGCTGGAAGGAATCCCCATCTTCAGCGGGACCCGCGGGGGTACTTCGCTACTTCCTCCACGACCTCCCTCCCTCCTCCATCTGTGGTTCTGGAGCATGCCGCCTCACCCTGTGGTGATGCTGCTACCAGGGGAGAGGGTCCGTTGTGGGAATAGCACGGATGCAAGCGGGAGTAATTTCCAGCACTTACCTCTTGCTCGTGTTCCCCGTGGTGGCTCTGGCCATTCCAGAGTGAAAATGTGTCCTGCTGCCTGCTGTCCTCCTGACTGCTGGCCAGTCTTAGAATGCGGCCCTCCAGGCCTCTGCTGTGGCTGGTGTGAGGAGCTGTGTGGAGTGGGCTGCTCCTGGAGACCAGGCTCCCTTGCATGCAGCTGGTTGCCACTCCCCAGGTGGGGACATGGATGGCTCTGCGGCTGCTTCCCTCATCCAGCAAGATTCCAGGTCGGAGGGGAAGGTGCACAAAGGCGACCTACGTGAAGTTCCTGCCCTTCTTCCCGTTTCGGATGGATCTGGACGTTCGCCTGTTCAGGAGTCCCTCCTTACTCAGCCTGGTGAGTATAGCTCTTTGCCATCCTCTACTATTATCAGAGAGAAGGCTCCAGAACACTGCTCCGCAATGTTTACTTACTTGGACTCTGCAGGGGAAGCCCATTGGGTTTACAGTGGACTGGCCTGGCTCCGTTATGATGAACAATTTTTGGCAGCGTAAGGAGCTTAGACGTTCTTTGCAGTGGGACCATAAAGTCATCAGCCTTTGGATGTGGCTAATGACCCCGGCATGTTCTGCTTCTCAGCCCTTTCCAGCTCGGGACCACTGGCCAATAAGAAAAAAGGTTATTGTTGAAAATTTAATGAGGGTGCTTGTCGTTTTGGAGGATCCTGTCGCTTTCAATATAAATGTTTTGTTTGCGGGGGGGGGGGGGGTTCCCACCCCTTCTTCCGTTGCTTCAAGCATGGCAAGGGTTGTGCCAGGGATTCTTCGGACAAGAGGGATAACACCAGTGATGGTGGAAAAGATGCTTCCGTTCCTAAGTAGGTATCCTGATTCGGCGGCTGTGCGGTTCCTTGCCTTCCCTTGTTCCTCTGATGTTCCCCCCTTTCTGT